GTCTGTTTGGACCCCTACCCTACTTTGAAGCTACTAACTACTACTACTAATGGATCTAAACAGGCTCTAAGTTAGGGAACAAATTCAAGGGCCTGCACAGTCAATCGTGAGTTTCCTAAACTGCGTACGTTGAAAAGGCAACACAGCTAATTAATAGGGACATCCTAGTTATTCCACATCTTCCTTAGTCTGTCTCAACTCCTGCAGAGCATATCGCAGGAGTGTAGAGTTTGGGACTCGGCTAGGTTCAAGCATCTCAGGCTGTTGCTGCCAACGTCGCCAGATTCAGTATTTTCATCTGTGCTAACCCTTGGTTTTACCGCTGTTATGTTTAAACTCTATCTCCTCTTAATGAAATACGTACCTTATAGTACAGTTAAAAAAAAAGATCCCAAGAATTTTTTTTATAGTAACTTGGCAAGATTTTTTTATAGTAATTTGCTAGAGTATCAGAATAACACGTGAGACTTCCATACAGTCTTACGAGATGGCCAAAACCCTCCCATAACACCTAAAAAAGAGCTAAAATCATGGTTTTGAATTTTGATTGCTTTCCAAAATGTATTGGTTGAAAAAGGAAGTTCCACCAAGAGTGGTTTTTCTCTCTCTCACCGTTAGAGTTTAGACATGTCAAGGGAGCGCAAATATAAGACACTAGCGGCGGGTTTTTAGCGGCGGGTTTTGGGCAGTTGGGAATATAACTGAGGCCAAGAATTCAAGGTTGGAATCCTGTTTTCCTGGGCCAATGCAAGGCCAAAACTAGATTTTGGGCTTATTTTTTGACAATATAAGAAAAGAAGATATAGGCATTGCTCAAAAAAAATATAGGCTCATGATCCTAACAAAAATTGTACGTAATATCTAAATTAGGTAATTTCTATGCGAAATTGAGTTCTGTTGGTTTATCCAGACATGTTTTTCATTCCTTCTCAGGTTGTTAGTGTATCAATTGACAATATGACCTTTTAAATAATTGAGTTGTGATACAATTTTATTCGACATTAAGGTGCATTAAAATGCAAATAACTCCACTAAAGTTTACCAAAAAAATACAATTTGGTGTATCAAAATCGATGTTATATTCTTCATTTTTCATAACTCATTACAAATCTTATATAAAATATCATACTTTGTAAATCTAAAAGGATCATGATTCTATGATTTGAGTAATGCTCTTTCAAGACATCATAAAGATTAATAACTAGCTCAATCAAATAATTAATTATCCAGCCAATTGTTCTCGATCAAGAAAAAGGTTTGTGCGTCTTTATATCAAGGTAGACACGCCTTAGCGGCGCCCTAGGAGACCTATGCCCAGGCTGCCGATCGGACCTTCCCTTGTCTACTGTAAGCTATGTAATTACATTGCACAAGGATCAACCCAGATTGCGGCGCCGGCTAGGAGGCATATGCCCGGGCTGCAGATCGGCGGCGGGGCTGCTTGCGCTCGCCCACCTCGCCATCCGCTCGGAACAACTCACGCAACGCCTGCATATGAGCGGGGTCACCGTTGAAAATTTCTTCGTACGCCTTCTTGGCCCACGTCGACGGAGACGACATCCCGCTGGTTAGCACCAGGCGTTTCATGACAAGGTACTCACCTGGCTTGGTACCCAGCCAATTGTAAACAATTTTGAGCATCAACATTTGTATAGCAGCTGTATTAATCAAACAAATGCAGAAAAGGACTAAATTTACAGGAGTATATAGTCAAATTTGTCTATCTCGTGTTCTCGTAAAAACATAACCCGAGCCAAATTCTTAACATACAATTAGACCAAAATATACATACTCCCTCCATATCGTATTTAGGTGTCATTCTGGAGGCCAGGCCGGTTGCGGCAAAAGAAGTCGTTCACGATAACGAGGGCGATTTTGGACGCGATTACCCCTGGCTAGGCACGCGCGCCACCCGTTCGCATGGCCGCCCGTTCGCGCGGTCTCCTCGTCATTAATCGCGGTCTCCTCGATTGAAGAGATCGCCTTAGCACGCAGACCGCCCACAGCACGCTCGCCGCCTGTCCGCACACCTACTTCATCTCCCTCACGCTCGCCTGTGGATTCCGGCGGCTAGGGTTTAGTACTGTTCGGTTCATTTCGTCTCTATGGAGACCGGCGGCGCGCGGGTGCTGGTCGCCACGGACAGCGTCGGGCCAGAGTTGGAGGTGCTCGCCGTGGAGGACATCGGGCCAGAGTCGGAGGAGGTCGCCGCGGAGGACGTCGTCGACCCGCTGCTGTCCGTGGACTCCGACCCGCTGTTGTCCGTCGCGCTGGATTCGCAGGAGCCGAACGAGGTCATCGTGCTGCTCGCCGCGGACGGCGTCGTGCCGGATTCGTAGGAGGTCGCCGCGGACGGCGTGGTGCTGGACTCGCAGGAGCCGGACGAGGTGGTGCCGGAGTCGCAGATGCCGCCGGACTCCATCACGCCGGAGTTGCTGGACTCCATGGAGGTGGTGTCGGATTCCTTGCCGCCGGGGGCGTTTGTATGCAGTCGCTGTGGTCTCGTCCATGAGGACCGCGAAGCATGGAACCGTGCGCACTCGCGGTTCTATCCATGCCCTAGCTGTTGCACGGCTGGAACAAGTGCTTCTATTGTTTTTGCATTCTTCTTATATTGAATTGCTTGTATAGCTCGAAAAAAACCCAAGTCAAGAATGTTGAAATCCGTAGAGTTTGGTGGTTGACAAATTAGGCGAATATCGAATCCTCCTAGCTTAGCGGCCTCACAAAAATCCGGATCATCCAATTTCAAATGAGAGGGTGCATTATCCTGTTGGATGAATATTGGTTTACCCACATATTCTCTTGGCCATTTCGCTCTAATGGCCGGCAACACTTGGTTGATCATGAAATCTCTAATCACGTCTCTTGTGATCGATGTAATGGGCTTCATAACCAAGTCTCCACAGACACGGCCGATTCTCTCATTGCCTCTCATAGCCGGTTCATAAGGAACAAGAGGAAAGCATCCAATCCTACCATCAAAAATACAATTCACATCCCTAAACCTTGGCCGAGCGCAAACACACAAGAACATGATCCTAGGGATGTAGTTCTTGTTCTTACAAGTCTGATGGGGTTCATCTTCTTCGGGTAGCAAATAATATCTTTCAGATTTTTGACATAGGTAGAACCATTTCTCATCAATGAACACAAAGTCATACAACTCCTTAAACCTTGGATCATCAAGCAACTCCCTATTAACCATGTCAACACACCATTGTAACCTAGACCTCCTGTTAGCTTCAGTGAGATATGGCTTGATGCTACTAGAGTGGCGCCTAAGGTAACCTTTTTTTAAATACCTTTGAATCTGCCATTTGCTCATATTTAGTGCGGTGCACACATCATCTATAGTCATTCTTTGCTTTAGATGAATGTTTCTCAATGCTTCTAAATCAACAGGGATGTGCTTACGGCCTACTCTACCCTTCTTTAGACTATAAACCACAACCGGAATTGAGTTTGCAAGTTGTATTTTACCTCTCCGCCATACCCTCTGAACTGACCGAATATTAAGCCCAAATTGCTCGGCAACAGCTGCAGTGTCATTCTTGCCTAGTTTCCTATTGTTGCTCCTAACCAACAAAGCTTGATAAACTTGTTTTCGGAGGTGTTCAGACATTTCTTTCCTTCGGTGAGGTCGTTGAATTTGTTCTTCCACGGTGGGGTTCTCTACAGCAGCATGTTCTGTTAAAACAAGCACGTTCATTAGTTCCGGCAGCATGATATGTTAAAACAACTCCAATTGTAGTTCAAATTAAACCCTATCTAATGGGCACGGAGTACTTTTGCATGGCTGCTGTGAATATCATAAAAGAAAAGACCATTACCATTGTTATTCTGATCCTCCATCGGAGGCATGTTGAGATCGAACGCAGCGGCGTCGTGCTCGTCGAGGTCGAACGCAGCGGCGTCGTCGTCATCTTGAGGCTCGTCGAGATGAAACGCAGCGTTGTCGTCGCCATCTTCGTGCTCATCGAGGTCGAACGCAGCGTCGTCGTCATCATCTTCAGCGCTGGGCTCGTTCAGATCGAACCCAGTCCACAAATCAGCCATGCTAAGCTAAAGATATGGCTCAGTACTGCTCAAACGAAGTGGCATGAAGAATAGATGTGGCGTGATGAACCGAAGGACTGCGGCGCTTTATTCAGCTGTCTGCAGGTATCCCAAACGTCGCATGCACAAGCGCCAGGCCGAAAAAATGAAAAATTGAATGGCACGAGCGCCCAAACTCGATGGTACCGTGCCAAAACTGGAAGCAAACGCGCGCCTAGGCGCGAGCGCGCACAGCGAACTTGTTCCGCACAGTAGCATGCAAAATCGCCATGCAAAATAGCGAAATCCAAAAATATGTGGGCCCACCCGGAATCGAACCTGGGACCTTGGGGCACTAACAGCACTGCGCTAGCCACTCCAACTCTGATTCATTCTTGTATACAATGCACCCGCAGACATATTTAATAGGGACAGGCAGAAAAAAAAAATACCCTCTATTTAATTACTCCTTGGTAATCATACTCATGTCCTAGACGACTTCTAATTACGATACAGAGGGAGTATGCGATTGGCCGAGTTACCGTGAATTCTGTAATGAGGTATTCTTTTTTCGCGAACGTGCTCTGCACGTGAGTCTGATGAGATATTTGTGTAATGACACTGATGCTTAGCCATTTTTTTCTCAAAAAAAAAATAATCGTACGAGTCACCGTGAAGTCAGAAAACATAAAGGAACCACAGAAAGTAAGGATACATTCTTTTTTCCTTTGAACAATTTTCACTATCCACGGTCGGATATGATGGAACAAGTTCATCGCACTTTGTCAACTCAATCTACAGGTTGGCTAATGTACACATCATTTCTTTCTTTCAGAGGTACAGAGCAGACATACCCAAATGATCACTCCCAGAATGGTTCACGCTTTCCTCAGTGAGGAAGGAAAAGCTTCACACGGCAAGCTGCATTGAAGCACGCATCATGTTTACGTACCTAACAAGGTCTAGAACTTGTCTACGGCGACGCCATCCCTGACAACCTCGTAGGCGTCCCGATTCCTGGTCTTGTTCATGCCGGCAGCAAAGTGCACCTTGGTGGCCTCGGTCCTGACCTCCGTCACCTTGGTCCAGATCAGGATCTTGGTCTTGAGGCCCTCGATGTGGGTCATCTTTCCTTTCTCCAGGTACCCCGACACGTTGGTGGAGAAGCGCAGGACCGACGAGTCCTTGTAGCCCACCTCGCATGGCGACGCGATGTACACCGTTAGAAACTTGGTGTCTTCGTTCAACTCGTAGTTGGTCGCGTCCTGCGGGAACAGGCCTACTGGGAGGTCATACTCCTTGAGAAATTCAGGCAGTGGTTTCTGCATCTTCCCTGAAACCAATTAAGCAGTACTTTACTCATCATACAAATAGTGGGCAAAGGAAGCAAGCAAAAACCTTGTTTCTCTCACATTACATCCAACCATATATAGGTTTAAAACAATGCACGTGTTTACGGAGAGCAGGAAGATCATATCTGATTGTTGTATCTTGTAACAGAAAAAAAATCTGCAAATCTAACCATCGCAACAAACATACCTTTGATTTTGTTGACCATCCATTTAGCTCCATCTCCAATGCTGCTAGAGACTGACTGAAAGTTGCAAAAGGTGAATAGTCAACACAAAGGAGTTTCTGTTTGTTGAAAGAATGTCTTGCAATGCTGTCATATAGCAATATAAATAGATCACATAGTTTATATACAAATCCAGGGAGTAGAGCAAACGAAAAACATTGAGGAATTGCTCAAACCATGTAATAATATAAAATGCTTACATTATGTAGCAAGCACAAGGCATGCCGCATGAATGAAAAGTAGTCTTTTAAATAAACCCAAAAGTAGAATTACTAACAACATATATGATCCCAATCGAAAAGTAATATAAATGTTCAGGAGGTTCTGGCGGCACCACTGAAGCATGCACAACTCGATCCTAAACTGACTGAAAATGGGAATAACTTCAGTTCTGGCTCAATTGTCAAGTGGCCACCTTAGAAATCTCCCTTTAGCCAGGCAGCACCGTTCACACGTGATCTCGAGCCCCTCTTATTCTATTTGGGCGGAGTAAATATTAGGACAACTAAGAGCAGCTGAATTCTCGCCTTGTTTCCTCCTTGGGAGATACTAGCGCCTCGACATCCGAACAAAAAGTGTATATCCGGATGCCCGCGCCACCTTCGTCACGCGCGCCCATGAAAAGGCAACACCTGATGCTCCTTCCCCTGGCCCCGTCCTCTTTCTCCGTAACCGCGAGTCCGGACGCCCGCACACCTGCGGGAAATGCCACGTCGGCCGCTCCTTCCCCCTAACCCCCTCCTCTATCTCTGGGCAGGTGGGACCCAAGAGCTGGCACGAGGACGAGCACGCCTCTCCCGCAGGATCCTAGGTGCGTTGCGTGCCCCGACTGTCGCGATTTTTTTTTAATTTTAACCCTTTTTTGAATATAATTTTAAATCTAACACTGTCGGATTTTTTTTAAAACTAACACTTTTGGCCGCGCCTATTGCCCTGGTGCGGCCAAATGTCTGTGCCGTGCCATGCATGGTGGTGTGCGGCATGCAGGGACGTGGCGAGGGCGGCGGCTGGGGACGGCCGGCGTGGTAGATCTGCAGCGCCACCGACCTTGGCGGCGGCAGCGATTGCGCCGACGATTTGTGGCGCTGGCAGACCATATATATACAGCGTCTTGAGCCCGCCCACCAGACGCACCTGCTCGCCGCGCCGCCTTGAACGCCGCCGCCGCCGCCGCCGCCGCCGCCGCCATGCCAGCGTCACAAGACGCCGCCTCGCCTTCGCGCAAGACGCCCGGCCCGGCCTCGGCCTCGGCCGCTCGCCCACGCCTCGCCCGGTCGCTCCCCCCGCGCCACGAACGCCGGCGCGTCAAGGCCGCCCGCTCCTAAGGTACCCGTCTCGATTTCATATTACTTTTATTATTATGTAGTATAGTTAGTATTTTTTGTATTCCTAAGGTACTATTACATTGAGTATCTAGGGGCATCGAGGCTATTTTTATTTCTTTTTCTAGAAGTATCTAGGGGCATCGAGGCTATTTTCATTGAGTATTAGTGTCTTTGCGATATCTTAGAACGACTATTATTATGTGACGGAGGAAGTACCTTTCGTAATAGGTACTATTACATAATAGGTACTATTACATTAAGCATGGAGTATACTTTCGTAATAAACTTATTAGGAGATACAAATATTGATACCGTTTTTTTAAGTTTTGATCAAACTTAAACATATTTGACTACTTGAGAAATAAGATGTGTATTTATTTTGAGAATGAGGGATTACTTGTAATTTTGGAACCAAAGTTTTATATGGATTGATTATGTATTTATTATCTAGTATACTTAGGATTTTGAGTTTAGAGATTTAGGTTAGTTAGTTAGTGAATTTGTTTGTGAACTTACTAATGTTAATTTGAATTTTGTTAATTTGAATACTCTAACGCTTTGTTTATCAATTTGTAAAAAGGATGGCCCCTCCCACGCAGCACCTGTTGTACCCCATTCTTGAGGTGGAGTACGATGACCAGCACCGAGCACACATCTTGAGTGACAACGACGCAGAGGTGTCCTTGCCTCCTTTGAGGCCCCGCACGCACACCAGGGCGCATCAGTGGGACGAGTGTTATACGCCGTACATACGGCGTGCCGGCTTCCTCGAGCTTGTCTGTGTTATGAACCATGGTCTTCCGCCCCTTGACCCAGCACTACTTACTGCAGCTGTAGACATGTGCGAGTGCATTATTTGTACGTAAACTTTCTTGTAATAAATTTGAGGCAATTAACAGTCGTTCTATTCTTATAACAGGTGGAGGCCTGAGACCCACACGTTCCACCTACCTTGTGGCGAGATGACCATGACGTTGCAGGACATGAAGGCTATTTTAGGCCTTCACTTGGGGGGACTTCCAGTGACAGGGATAGTTGACAACGATCACTAGAGGGAGCTGGTGGCTCAGTTTACTGGCTTTCTTCCACCGGACGACGATGCTTCTAAAAAAAATAAGTGAGTAATTTCAAGCCTATTTAATACTTGCATTGTTTACAGCTGGCATCGGGTCTCATTTTCTTTGATCAATTACAAGAAAACTTCCGGTGTTTCGTCGTCCTAGATCACAGAGCGCTTTGATTACTTGGACCCACAAACTGAGGAGGCTTAGATCGACAGGTTCGCTCGAGTGTGGCTCTGGCACTTTCTTGGTGCTTTCCTCTTCCCAGACGCCTCGGGCAACACCATCAGCTAGATCTTCGTTGACATACTTCGCCAGCCGTGGGAGAACATAGCGGGGTATAGCTGGGGCAGCGCAGTCCTGGCATGGACGTATCGACAGCTATGCGTTGCCTGTTGTCGCACCTCAGGACATGCGAACCATGGGGGTTGCTCGTACCTACTCCAAGTTTGATGTTGGGAACGATTGCCCGTTGGGAGGCCCCTTAATAATGGTTTACCGGTAAGTACTTCGGTTCATTATATTTTCTAGGCAGTTAGATATGATGATATTATTTGTTGCTAATTTATTATCGTGTTCAATGCAGCGATGGAACGGGCATGATACACTCCCTACAGCTCTGTATATCTGGACGGAAGCACAGTTAATTAGAGGGAATGCGTGGTGCAAGTACAAGGAGTACACGGACGGTCTTGACGTCCTGACACAGCACCAGGTTAGGCTCTCTATACTATCGTACCAGTGTCTGCTTCGATGTACAGTATATCACAACCTAACACAATTACGAATTTTCAGGTGTTTTGGTGTCCTTGGGATTCTCCGGAGCTTCAGGGCTACCTGAGTCCTGTCACTAGGGACGAGTCACACGAGTATCGCTGCGACGTTCCTCTTATTTTCCATGTGGTCGAGATTCACTTGCCTATCCAGGTCTGCAGACAGTTTGGAAGAATGATAGCCTGCTCACCACCGCTTTACTCCACCAACCAAGAATTGCACGGGTGCGTTATCGATTAATAACAATGCTACAATTCAGAAGTGTGTTTGGTACAACTAACATCGTTTTGTTGCAGGTTTGACCGCAGGAAGAGGTATAAGACCAAGGATTGGCGCGTGACACACAGCCCGTACATCTAGTTGTGGCAGACCAGGGTACCACATGCGGTCCTTGCGGGTCCTCCACACGACCAGCACACCTTCGACGAGTACTTGCGGTGGCTTCACAGGTCTACGAGGACACATGTCAAGCCCCCGTACACTGACATGGTGATTGATGAGGACTCGGAGGAAGATGTCATCGAAGATGTGTACGACGTTACCACTAGGGAGGACACACAGCTACAGAGAGCCCCGCTTCAAAGATATATGGTAAGATACTTGAATGGTACAATTTGTTATCCTTTTGGTTTTAAGTAAGTGTACTAAAACTATCCAACCGCGTTTCTGTACCCAGGCGACACAATTGTCAAGGCTGTCCAACGAAGCAGCGTTCTGGCTTCACGAGTCTAGAGGACGGGCCAGACGTTCTCGCGGCTTTTGTGGAGGTAAACATAAACTTGTCCGTTTCAACAATATTTCTTTAGTGTATATGTGTCTGTGTAATGAACTAACTTTAACGTCTATTTATGCAGAAGGTGAAGAAGAGCTGTAGGAAGCTAGCTCAGAAGCTGAGCTGCATGGACACTCCTTATGAGGAACCGTCACTCCCGGCGCGGTCGGGTGGCACGTCTTCAGCCTCTTTGAGGACACCAGCCGGCTCTTCTCAGCCGATGACAGGTGCCACTTCCGCGGTGCGTACACCACCACATCATAGCGCTGGGAAGGACCCTGCAATCGAGGATGAGGAGGAGGACAATGACGACGACGACGAACCCCCGGGCTTCCGCGGACAGCATGACCAGTGGGACGAATGGCCGCAGGACGAGATCGGCATGTCTCAGCTAGGTGGTGCCCCGCTTGGCACCCAAGGAGCCTCACAGGTACTAACAAAGATAGTTTGTTTCAATACGTAGGCTCCATGAACTAACGATCATAAGTAATCGTGCGTATCATATACCTGCAGGGTACGAGCCGTACGCTCCGTCGACGCGACCATACCGACGTTGGCTACACTCCCAATGTGTTGCCAACAAATCCGAAGAGACAGAGGCATCCGAGGGATCCTTACACTCCTGGATCTTAGTTTGTTAGGTCAAACGAATATTGGCATCCGAAACTTGCGTGGTTATTTGGTTATGTTATCTCAAACTTATGTCAAAACAATCAATATGTTATGTTGCAGCTTGTCAACTTGCTTCTTATTCGTTTCTTTGAGTAGCGGCAGAGATTAAGTACCAACTAGTTCAGGAACCGACAGTCCCGGTGACAACGTAATCGATTAGTTTAAATGGTGCATAACCGTATTATAAAAGACGAAAAACTTATCATTGGCTTATCAAATTTTTTATTCGGCCATGAAAAAAACTCAACAAAATACGTGTGCAACGCGTTTCGATTCAACCATCCAGGTACTCCGTGCGGGCGGCGGCGCGCGCACCGCAAGTGGTGGTGTGGCTGCTGCTGGTGATATATATATATGGTCTGTCGTGTTACACGGATCGGGCGCGGAGTTCTTCGCGCCAAGGTCGGTCGGTGGCGGCAGAGGACCTGCCATGTCGGGCGGTCCCCAGCCGCCCTCGCCACGTCAGCCTGTCTTGCACGGCAAAGGCATTTGGCCGCGCCAGGGCAATAGGCGCGACCAAAAGTGTTAGTTTTAAAAAAAACCAACAGTGTTAGATTTAAAATTATATTAAAAAAAGGGTTAAAATTAAAAAAAAATCCACTGTCGCGCCCCATCCCCCGACGCCTGGCTGTGGCCCCCAGGACTCTCTACCTCTGAAACATGAAACACTTAGATGCAACATACGACTAAAGCAGATGAAATATTTAGAACATACAATTGCAACATGTGTGTGAAACATATGCAACATCTAGATTAAACACTTGCAAATTACAACATGAAAACACATATTCCAACATAAGACTGAAACAACTGCAACATTTCCAACATAATTTTGCAACATAGGTGTGAAACATGTGCAACATTTAGATAAAAAACGCTTGCAACATAAGTCTGAAATAGATGAAACATTTTGAACAAACGTTTATAACATGCCTCTGAAACACTTGCAACATATGCAATATCTCGATCTACTTTTTATACCTCTGAAACATGTGAAACACTTGAAACATACATTTACAACATATGGGAGGGGAGGTCGAGGCCGGTTGATTCCAACCTCGGGGCGTGAGCGCCACCAGCACTAGCCCGTGCTCATGGGTGCCCTTGGTCGGCTAGGGACCAACCTGAGGCGCGTGATAGCACCACGAGCACCAGCAGAGGCGGGCGGCGCGCCCGACTACGCAGGAGCGAGCGCCAGGTGGGACTGCAGGAGCAAGGAGCGAGAGGCGCAGCTGGGCGCGTGCGATGGGCAGGAGCGAGAAGCGAACAACGCAGGGTGGGGTGCGTGTTGGGAGGTGGCTGCGGCGGCAAATGTGAAGTGGAGCGGACGGACCGCACGGCGCCATGAATCGTGCGATGGGTGAGGAAGTGGGTAGACCCATGGCGGATGAAACAGTCAATCTGATCTCAGCGAGTGCGAAACCTTGTGTGGTTCTAGTTTGTTTGGTTTTATGAGCTATGCGTTGTCACTTGGTTTAGTCGTTGTTGCTTGTGTGACTTTGTTGGTGGTTGATGGGAGATGTTGCTACTCTTTCCTTGTAAGCTGGTGTGGTGTTTCCGAAGCCGTTGCGGGCTGTTGGTGGCCACCGCCGTCGCACCGGGGAGGCGGTGCTGCAGCCTAGGCCGGTAGTGTTGATGGCGCCGGTGGCAGAGGCAACGATGACATTGCTGCTCGGCTTGGCACCGGCAGCGTCCGTGTAGATGTTGGGTTTTACGGTGGCACATTGAACGTCCGGAGCACGGTCTGCACGAACAAAGACTCATGTGGCTGGCGCTGGCCATTCATGACCATTCTCGATAGGTGTCATACCTCGGTTTTTATGCCGTGTAGGTTAGAAAAGAAATATATTTGTGTAAGTAATTTTGAATTGCAAAAGGACTAAGGGAGCACTAAGAAATTTCCATGTAAACACACACAAGTGTGTGTATGTGTCTGTGGGTGCGTGTGTGTGTGGTGCATGTGTGCACGTGTGTGTGCGTGTGTGTGCACGTGTGTGGTGTGTAGACTGTGTGTATGCGTTGAGAGAGAGACGTGGGAAACGTAAGGAGGAGGCAGGCTTGGTGGGCTACGCAGACCCAAGGAGGCGTCCGATCAGACGGACGCCTACCCCTAAGCATTACCCTTCCACCATTCCTCCTTCAACCTACCCTTGAATCAGTAGCCCTCATTTCGTTTCGGTGCAATGAAGTTCTAAAGCTAAGCCTTCTTAGTTGTTTTGCTATATGGCGTCATTCCGACAATGAACCATACAACAGCTTTTATTGTCATGACCATGTGTAGCATTGCACCATGCAAACGATGCATTATCATCACTAGGTACCATTGGATGGATCCATTTAGAGAAATTAAATACAGTTTGTGAAAGGTAATATTTTCCTCTGAGTGAATTGATAACTAAGGAATCCTGAAATCATGCATGATCCACTACTTAAACATATGGTTTATTGAATCCATGCAACGTCGGATGTTCTACAGGTTTATTGAATCTACTTCCTGAGCCCGCACGCTACACAATTGGGAATCCGAAATTGCAGAAAGCATGCATGTCACTGGTTGTTGAAGTCAGGCTATATTTCCGACATGGCGACATGACCATGTCGTTTCTAAACGGATAACATAACCAAGCCATCTCAGGATCTGAACGTAGCCATCTGCGGCAGGTGGAGGCCCACAAAATGCAATGCAACGAAACAAGAACCGGGTCACTAATTGACCCGAAATGCATCACCGCATAATTGGTATATATCTCTCAAACTAAAAGTCATCGTCATGCAGGTTGTATAAACAGTGATGAAGAAGAACAAAAAGGTGAGCAAGAAAGACCGACAGCCGATCTATCAATCCACTGGAACAAAATGCAACGGAATCAATGAAAACGGAGAAAGTACTCTAAAATCTTTTGGAGGGGGTGCTTTTCCTTACGTTCATGTCGTCGAGCTCCTTGTTGGCCTTCTGGTTGAACAAGTAGCCGCCCACCTTCCCCATGATCTGATCCATCCCTGCCCTTCCCTAGCTTCCCTTCTCGATCTGTTGTTGCCTCGTCTTTAATTTCCCAAGGATCGAATCAGGGTCGAGGATTTGGAACAGCAGCAATCTTTCCTTGTGTTTTCGTTGGAAAATTGGAATCCACTCGCGCGAGCGACGGAGTGGGCAAGGGAAGGGAACCAAGGAGAGGGAAGGGAAAGCCGGCCGGCCGCGCCGGCAACCTGGTTCCTTATTGTTTCCGTCGCAAACAGGTGGAGATTGCAAGTCGATTCTATTTTTAGGACGGAAATCGGGTGACCTGGATACAGATGGGCCCCCTCAAAAAATAAGATACAGATGGGCCCACCATTTCCCCCCTCGGCAATTGGACCGCGTCCGGGACTTCTTCAGCCTCGCTCGGAGCCTGTTGGGCTACCGGCCGGTCCACCTTGCTAAAAGATAAAAAAACGCCCGTGCACGTTACTCCACTCCAGAGTCCTCCGCACTACCGGCACTCCAAGGTCCGCCTCGACGAGGGCCGAGCGGGAGCTCGGTTGCCTAGTTCCGACTGGGTTCGGGCAGCCCACCCGCGTTCGAGCGCTGGCCGGTGAATGTGCCTAACACGGGAACAGTTGTTTTAAAAATAATTTTTTTGTTGTATCGTAGGTGGATGCGTCATAATGGTCAGGTAACGTGCCCGTCACATTTGAAGTCTGGATGATTTCGGATACCTCTTAACCACATACAGTCTCTTTGTATTGGTATAGGTATAGCTTGTGCATTAGGACGTGTGTGGTTGAGTGTGTGCGTGTAAGGAGAAAATACTGGGAAAAGGAAGAACAGGATGAACAAGTAGCGAACGGCGCGATGGCCGGATTTACTCAAAGCAGTGTTTAGTATTTTTCTCCCTCATTCATGCCGACTCCTCTCTCCTTGCTCCTACTCCCTCCGTCCCGCAATGTTTGTCGTTTTGGCACATCATTTAAGCGTCTAGGTTCACAGGGTAGTCCATGCATTCGGACACAATGACGCCCAGGTTCAAACAACGTCTGATGCACCTCGTTCAAAGCTACAACGACTAATATATCGGGACAGAGGGAGTACTTAATACATGGATTCAAACTTGCCACATTGGGCCAACTATTCTTGTACTGGGCCGACACAGTCTTCTGGGCCGGACGGCCAGAGCAGCTTCCTCTTCAACACTAGGCGCATCCTCTTCACCAGACACAGGCACAGGCGGGGGCAGGCTGCTGACATTCCCCCCATCTTCAGAACCAGCATGTCCCCATGCTAGTGCTCGCAGAAACTGTTGGCGGAGTTGCTCGAGCGACTCCCAAGTAGACAGCTCCGGAGGTGAATGAGACCACTGTATAAGGCCTTGCTCCACAGGCCGAGCCCCGGATGTCCAGCGGCGTTGCAGCACCCGAAGCGGAAATTGAAACTGCCGCAAGTTAGAAGGAAGAGATGGCGATACCTGTTGATTGCCAGGAGAAGAACGTAGCTGCGAGACGTGGAAGACTGGATGGACAACAGCGCCTGGTGGAAGTAACAGCTTGTATACAACTGGGCCAATCTTTTGAATGACTTGAAATGGTCTGAAGAACTTGAAAGACAACTTGTTGTTGGAGCGGTGGAACAGTGAGGACTGAATATAGGGTTGGAGCTTCAAAAACACCATGTCACCCATGGAGAATTGATGCTCAGAACGACCTTTATCAGCTTGGCGTTTCATGCGAGCCTGGGCACGGAGCAAGTGTTTCTTGACAACATTATGCATGAGCTCTCGATCAGCCATCCATTTGTGAAGTTCAGGCACTGGAGCCACATCATCCAAGTTCACTGACAGTAGGCGTGGAGGGAAATCATATAAGACCTCAAAGGGGGAATGGCCCAATGCTGAATGGGTGGATGTATTATACCAGAATTCAGCGAGTGACAGCCAACGACTCCACTGAGTTGGGCAAGTGTGCACAAAGCAGCAAAGAAATGTTTCGACGCACTGGTTGACACGCTCTGTCTGATCGTCCGTCTGAGGATGGTAGGCGGAGCTAAACTGAAGCTCGGAGCCTACTGCTTTGAACAGAGATTTCCAAAAGTTGCTTGTAAATATGCGGTCACGGTCTAAGACAATGGCTCGAGGAAGACCGTGAAGGTGATAGACTTGGTCCATGAAAATTTTGGCAACCGAGGCTGCTGTAAAAGGATGGCGTAGAGGAATAAAGTGTGAAAACTTGGAGAACTTATCCACCACTACCAAGATTGCGTTGAACGAGCCAGACTGTGGCAACCCTTCGATGAAATCCATTGAGATCACTTCCCAAGAAGCAGATGGCACTGGAAGTGGCTGCAAGAGACCTGGATAACGGGATCTGTCCGGCTTGGCTTGCAAACACACAGCACATGACTGAACATAAGCCCAAATGTCAAACTTCATACCAGGCTAGAAGAACAAAGCTTTAACCTTACTGTATGTAGCTGGGGCTCCTGAGTGTCCACCCAAAGGACTGCTATGCAGTGTTGTCATAACTTTAAGCTGCATGGGCTTATTGGAACCCAGCCACAGACGGTTCTTGTATCTGATGACTTCTTGGACTAAAGAAAATGGAGGGCGGCTATCTAGGCTGGCAGCCAGCCGAGACAACAGATCCATAGCAGCTTGATCAGAATAGTATCCTTGTACCACTTCATCGAGTCAATTGTTGGAGACTGAAGATATAACATAGCTCTGAGATGGGTGCACTCGGCGGGATAGGGCATCTGCAGCGCCATTCTCAGAGCCTTTCTTGTACAGAATCTTATACTGTAACCCAAGCAACTTGGAGAAGACTTTCTGTTGCCATGCAGTATGTAGCCTCTGTTCATTAAGATGGACTAAGCTGCGATGATCAGTGTGAATGAAGAACTCGCCCTGAAGCAAGTAGTGACGCCACTGTTCGACAACCATCAATATAGCAAGATATTCCTTCTCATAGACTGACAACCCTTGATTCCTAGGACTTAGAGCCTTGCTGATGAATGCTATGGGGTGCCCATTCTGCTGTAAGACTGCTCCAATGCCTGTCCCAGAAGCATCAGTTTCAATGTGGAAGGGCAAGCTAAAATCCGGCAACGCCAAGACAGGGGCAGTACAGAGAGCTTGTTTCAGCACCGAGAAGGCAGACTCATGGTTTGAGGTCCATATGAACAACTGATCTTTCTTCAGGAGATCTGTTAGAGGCTTGGCAATGATGCTGAAATGACGCACAAATTTTCGGTAATAGCCGGCAAGGCCCAGAAAACCTCGGAGCTCCCGATCTGAAGATGGAATGGGCCATTCGAGCACTGCTTGCACCTTTGTCGGGTCCATGGAAAGGCCTTGGCTGCTGATGATATGACCCAAGTAAGAGATAGACTCCCTAGCGAAGGTACATTTTGAGAGCTTGAGCTTCCACTGATCAGCGCGTAACCACTGAAAAACTTGCCGCAGGTGGTCGACATGGGCTTCAAAAGTGGGGCTATAGACGAGGATATCATCGAAGAACAACAACACGAAGTGGCGCAAACCCGGAGCCAAAGTACCATTCATGGCACCCTGAAATGTGCCTGGCGCGCCAGTAAGGCCGAACGCCATCACTCTGAACTCGTACTGACCCAGGTGAGTCTGGAAAGCGGTCTTGAATTCTTTACCTTGCTGCAACAGTATTTGGTGAAAACCCGCTCGAAGATCTAATGTTGAGAACCACTTAACGTTTGCTAGCTTATCCATCAACTGGTTAAACATCGGCACAGGAAACTTAGATTTCTTTGTCATAGCATTGAGGTGTCTGAAGTCAACACAGAACCGGTAGGAGCCATCTTTCTTTTTGACAAGCAGTACCGGCGAGGAGAAAGAGCTAGAGCTTGGCTGAATGAGTCCTTGTGACAACATCTCCTGAACCTGGGCTTCAATTTCATCTTTCATTTTGGGCGGGTATCTATAGGGCCGGATGAAGACAGGTTGAGCACCAGGCAACAGAGGAATCTCATGGTTACAAGCGCAAGAAGGTGGAAGAGATGTTGGTGGCTGGAACAAGTCAGAAAACTCTTCAATTAACTGATTGATTGGAGCTAGAACATTGATGGCATCATGATCTGAAGAAAGAGCAGGCACCGTATTTTCAATTTGCAACAGCAACTGGTCCGGTTCATCAGGAAGTAAACCTTGCAACACCTGAGTCTGGCCATCATATGGAATTGCCAACCACTTCAAGGCCCAATGAACTTGCATTGGACTGTAGGCCTCTAACCAATCCATGTCCAAAATTGCATCGAAGTTACCCAAAGGCAGCACCCGAAAATCAGTGCGAAAGAAGCAAGAGCCAACTGTCCACGGAACTTGGCGAAGTAGCAAGGAGCTCTGCAAGGCACCTCCACTAGCAACTTGCACACAACTAGAAATAGAGACTGAATCTAGGTGATGTAACTTAACAGCCGTAGTGTTATTGATAAATGAAGATGAGCTCCCTGAATCCACCAAAATATGCACTAGAATACCTGACGTTGATCCCAACAACCGGATAGTACGAGCAGCAGGTACCCTAGACACGATGGACTTGGAGATGGCCAAAAACACTTGTTCAGTTGGTTGATCATCAGATGTTTCTGCAGCCGGCACCACATCAGGGTCCAGCGATTCCCAAAGAGCTTCGACCGCATGCAAGACTTCTGGTGCGCACCGGTGATCCTTACTCCATTTGGCATTGCATTTGTAGCATAATCCCAAGGCTCGACGGTACGCTTTGACAGCAGCTAGAGCACCAGTTGCCGTGGGCTCGACGGCTGCAGGCTTCGCCATGGGCTTCTCAACATGAGGCGGAGGTGGTGGTAGCGGCAGCGCGGTCCGTGGTGTGGGCTTAGGAGACCACTCAATGGGTGCCGACGAACGGAACGAAGACTGGGCGCCCGATTGGCCAGCCACCTCCTCCTGCACAAGAGCCATGCAGATAGCAGCATCGAGTGTTTGTGGCCTAGAAACCAGTATCATAGCTTTGAGGTCGGGCCGAAGGCCATCGATAAATCTCATGGTATAAAACAGTGAATCAGTAGAAGCAGAATAGGATTTGAGGCGATCGATTAAGACTGAGAAACGCTCGACATAATCCGACACCGTAGAAGTTTGTTTGATGTGGAACAATTGATGCATTAAAGCTTCCTTCTGATCGCGATCAAATCGATCGTGCAAGGCTTGACAGAAGGATGTCCAATTGGCAGTGGCTGGAGTATTTTCAATGGACTCATACCAGCTGGCAGCGGCGCTTTCCACATACATGGTTGCGACGCGAACCCAAAGTGAGGGATCTACGGCGTACATGGTGAAGTAGCGTTCGCAGCGAGAACGCCAGAGGCGTGGGTTTTCGCCATCGAATTTAGAGAATGGGAGTTTAGGGAGGCGTCCAGTTGGATGTTGGAGCTCATGGGTGTCGTGAGGAGTTGGGTGGCGAGGAGTTGAAAGTGGTGGACGAGGAGGTATGTAGAGCGGAGGGGGACGCGGTGGATGCTGGGAAGGTGTGGAGAAGGGTACGGTGGAACTGGTGGCCGGTGCGGAAGCGGAGGTGTCGAGCGCGGATGAAGGAGAGGAGGAGGGGGAGGAGGAGGAGGGTCGGAGTGCTTACCCATGACCGGGACGTGAGTCCAGACCGGCCCGGTCCTGAACCCACCATCCCGGTGAGACGATGCATTGCCGTGCCCACTAGGCGCAGAAGAAGAAGAGGCGACGACGTTGGGCCATTGAGGCAAAACGTCGAACACCTTAGGTTCGCGACCTTACGACAGCTTCTGCATCTTGATTCGCAGGTCGTCGACGAGCGCTTCCATCTCCGGGCGCCAAGTACCGAGGTCCGTGGCGGCCACCTCGAGGGCGGTGACGCGGTCGTCGCGCTCGTCGTGGAGGGGGTCGATGCGGACAGCCTCCAAATCGGCAACGCGCCTGCCGATGGTGTACGCCGTGTCGGCGCCTGCGAGCTCGATGGTGTCGAGGCGTTTGTCGACGGCGGCGTCGCGGGCGGCGCGGGCAAGCTCGAGATCAGCAAATCACCGCTCCCACTGCTCGTTGTGCTCGTCGAAACGACGCCCGAACTCCTCCTTCGACTTCTGGATTTCCTCCAGCACCAGCTTGAGATTTGGTTCCATGGCTCCCAGAGAGCGTTGCAGGCGGGTAAAGTGGGTATGAGGGGGGTCGGAGGCTAGGACTCGAATAGAAATCTGATACCAATTGTAAGGAGAAAATACTGGGAAAAGGAAGAACCTGATGAACAAGTAGCGAACGACGCGATGGCCGGATTTACTCAAAGCAGTGTTTAATATTTTTCTCCCTCATTCATGCCGACTCCTCTCTCCTTGCTCCTACTTAATACATGAATTCAGACTTACACATTGAGCCAACTATTCTTGTACTGGGCCGACGCAGTCTTCTGGGCCGAACGGCCAGAGCAGCTTCCTCTTCGACAACAGGCGCATCCTCTTCACCAGACACGGGCACAGGCGGGGGCAGGCTGCTGACAGTGCGTGCGTGCGGTGACGTGAATTGGTGCATTGGGGCATAAAAAAAGTCCGCCTCGACCCGCTCTCCGCCGACCGCCGGTGCGTTCGCCTTGTCCCCGCTCTACGCCGACCCGCGCGCTTGCCGCACCACGCTCTGCTGGCGACCTCGACTCGTGGAGACGCACCTTCCTCCCCGCGCTGGCGGCCGTGAGCACGCTGTCCTCCCCTGCGCCTGGCGGCCGAGCATCTCCCGGGCGCCGGGCGCCGGCTCGAGTCGCGGGGCGAGGCCGCGAGGAGGACCAGCAGGACGTGTCGCGGGTCGAGTCACACGGTGAGTGGCCCGCTCAGCACGGGGACGCCTGTCGTCAGCCGTAGCGACTAGCGACGACTCATTCTACCGTTGCGGGTGCCCTTACAGGACCCGACCCGCTAGTCGCGTCGCATCGCGGGATCGTCCAATCAGAGCGCGCGTTGCACGTCATCCGCCTCGAAGCGGATACCGATTCGGGGCAGACGCAACCCGGAAGCGGGCGTATATGAACACGCGGGTCAGACGCAGAGGGCGCACTCCGATCTCGCTCGGCCATCGAACTGTACAAGGACGACAGGGAGAAGAGAACGGCGGGTTCATCACCGTCAGGACTCCGGTGCGTGCGCATACATCTATCCACCGCTCTTCCCCTTCTCTTCTGCCGGTGCTTCCAAGGTTTGTTTTGGTTAGATCCCTCTGCGTATTGTTCTTCCCTCGATTGGGCTTAGATCAGCATGTCTCGCATCTTCGAATTCTGCTTGTCTCGCCTCTTCGAATTCCTGTGTTTAGCGTACCTGATTCGTCCAGATTTGGCCCCTAGATATGGTTGCCTCGTTTTAATTATCGGCTGCTGATTCATGCTTATATGCCGCCCCTGTAATTGTGCCATAACCCCAGAGCGTAGATCAGATACGTTTATGACTGGTAATGGATCGTGGCTAAAGATGGGGACGGTTGCTCCGTGGAGCAAACCGTACGTGACCCATAGAACCAAATGAACACCGTTCTATCCATACACATAATCCTGCTTTGACCCCGGTGCTCCAATGGATCGGGTGGGTCGATCCATCCTTTGGATGAGCTAGCTAGCTGCGGCAGCACTGATCCATCCCAAGGACTATGAGATTTAACCTGATGATCTTCGGTTGCACGCTGAATGGTGCTAAATTGATGGGAAATTCAATGGTCCTGGTGGACCTTGTTGATGGTTTCGGTCTTGGTTTGTATGTAACTGTTATATCATCCTTGTGTATGTCAACATGCCTGTTGATTTTGCAATGCTCCTCGCAACGAAACTACTTTATTTGCCTGCACTTATTCTGTTCCTGTTACAAGCTGAATAATCTGATGTGAAGCTCGTGCATTTGTCTGGCCATTGCTTATCTAATTTTTATGTGATGTGAAGCTTGTACACGTATACCACTGTAATATATCATGATCTCTTTTAGTGTATAAGGTTAGTACGTGGTCTGCTAAAGTAGGAGCTGGATTTATGCACAAATTAGAAATTGAATTTCAGCTTACTATCCCAGTCACAATTTAAAGTAAAATCATCTTATGCTTACAAAGACCAACTAAGCACAAAATTTGAGATTTTGTGCTTAGTTGGTCTTTGTAAGCATAAGAAAGCAAAATGATTGCTTTTCTATCTCGTCAATGAACAGCCAACTGCATAAATGCTACATGCTGTAGGTATTCTTAGCTAGATTTCCAAAATGTGAAACAAATATGTGATACCCGCTATTGACAGCCAACGACATGTTGTGGTGTTCTCACAGTTTTAGTTTTTCAGGTATTGTATCTGAACCCTTTTACTGTCATGCAGAGAGTGTTAGAACAAGATGGTGGCCAATGGTGATGCACCTGCTAGAGGGAGTGCGGCGGCAGCTGCAAGCCTGCGTAGGCGCAGGACCACGAGCGGAGCTGCTGGTGGTGGAGGCGGTGCCAGCTCAATGCTCCAGTTCTACACCGATGAGGCTGCAGGGCGCAAAATGTCACCAAACACTGTTCTGATCATGAGCATTGGGTTTATCGCTGTCGTCGCTGTGCTCCATGTTTTCGGGAAGCTGTACCGCACCTCCAACTAGGTTGGCATTACCATATCCAAGAAAGCTGAGTCCAGCAAGAGAGGAACCTTGTAGAGCAAATTTAAACGGATAGCAAGTGACTATCAGATTTTGAACTGTTATAGAAGTTTATTTATACAACTTGCAATGCTGAGCGGTTATGGATAAATCCTTGTGAATCTTGTTTAGTCATTGCTTCATATTTTGAAATGTGTTTGCATATGCTACTTTGTGTTTCTGTTGTCATGATCTTACCATTCCATCCTTGTTGCCTACATTTGGCAATCTTGCACTGCCTAATGGGCCGTGGACCTGAAATTAGTTTCCAGCGGGGCATAAAGATGTGTTACGAGTGCCGTGATTAACTGGTAAGCAGTGAAGGACCTGAGTAGGTTGTGCCTGGTCTACCTGGTGCGTGGCAAGATGCAGGGCTTGATTTGTGTTGCCGTGTTTCTTCACATATGCTGTGCCTGTATGATATGTCCGGTGATCTCTATGGCTTTCTCAAAGCTGATAAACTAAGCCAACACGGGTGGTGAGCACGGAAAGCCACCGGTGGATAAAAAAGTAATAAAAAAAGGGAAGTAACAATCTCTCTGTTTTTAAATATTCTACAACTTTTTTTTGTCGAAAAAGTTATACTTGTACAAGCAGGCCGATGCATATCATTTTTGTACTCGTCACTGCATGTTTTTCCCAGAACCTAGCTCTAGCATCCTACTCCACATTCTCACCCTGTTGGAGGCCTTTTTTAGCATTAGGATAGCATAAGATTATCTGATTATGTGGGCTTCATCAAATTGTCAAGCATTTGACAAATGGAGGTTTTGTATCAAAATCATTCCAACTGATCACATCCATTAGACCAAAACTTGTTGATATCAAGCCTGTGTATCGGATTCATTGGCACCTGCCAAGAAATGGATCTAATGGAACATAAAAGAACAGCATATTTGCAACACACAAGATAGCCACATCCCAAGCGTAAATTGCATTCACGACATTCTCCCAAAACCAATCTCAACTTCGTCTAAAAAAAACCAATCTCAACTGTAGCATTCTAATCCGTGCTCTCACATTCCATATTAACATGTCTGTAAAATTGTTAATCGAGAATTCATAGCTATGTATGTTTGATCAAACAGTCAATCACCTAAAGGAGTGGAGGCCGTAAACAATCACTCCCTTCGGTCGGTGAAAAGATGTCAAACGGAGGTAGCAGTTCCAGTTCGGTTAGTTAAACATCTGCTGGCCGGAATTTTTTCGAACTGGAAGTAGTAACATGCACACCATCACCGGAAACACTTGTTCATCATTAACAATATGCTCCATCCAAAAGCCAGGCATTCAAGCCTATAGGAAGTAGGAACGGCATGCAAAAGGATATCAACCAATGCCATGATCGTAGTAAGCATCAGAACTCGCTGAAACAGAACAAGCTCACCTCACCTCGGATTCATTCATGTTGTCAGGAAATAAATCAAGTGAGGCATAAAGCCAGCAAGCTTCTAAGAACACATCAGGAACGATTTACACAGTCAATGCTATAAATATGATGCAGCCCCAGATGATGACGAGGCAATGACCAAGTAACAAGAAAGCTGCACTTGCGAACAGAAACAGTACTGACTAAACCACACCCCTCAAGTAAAGAGCAATGATTCCATTTGGATCCAGATATCACCTGCCATGAAGTAGGCACCAACAAGTAATTCTACGGCTGCATATGAGTATTCCCACCAATTTTAAATATACGACGTTTAGCTCAAACTAATTAGTTCATTTTAACTAACTAGTATTCCCACCAATTTTAAATATATAACATTTAGCTCAAACTAATTAGTTCATTTTAACTAACTAGTTTGTCTTAAATGTCATATACTTAAAGTACTTTGCAATGCTAACCATACCAAGATAACCATTTTTGTTTGGTGGGGACTTTCTTTGTGCATATATATGGCACTGCATAATTCCTGAAGAAGTTTCCCCAAAAGCCCCATTATCTACAACATTCTACTATATATCCTCAAATTTATTTAATTTTCCCCATTTTATCTAACATAACAAATATCTGCCTAGTTGAAGCACGAGAAAATGGAGGCACTAACTAATTAACATGTAAAGTAAACTAATTGGTGTACATATGAACACTGCAAAACTTGCTCATCTCAACATATATATGCAGAAGTGCTGAGAAGTCCCAAAACTTGCTCACCATCAACCATATACTACTACCAAGGCCATGCAAATAAATATGCATTAAACCACAAATAACAGAACAAGATCGCCTCTTGGGTTGATTGTCACTGCCGAGACATGGATCAGGGGGCATAAAACCAGCAAGCATGTATGAATGCAGCATGACTCATGATGCCAATGCTAAATAAGATCCAGGTAAGGAGGCAATGATCAATTTGCACTCCCAAATCACAGGAACACTACTGCAATTGCAGAGAGACTAACTTTCTGGCTTGTCAAATCACATATCAAAAGTATTTCATCCATTTCGATCCAAAATATCACCCCATTAGGTGCGCACATCGAACACATGGTTTCATTCATCACTGCATACCGATTCTTAGTTGCCACTACTTGCAACTGCTAGTTACCATATCAAGCAAGCATTTGCACCTGCATTGCATATACCATGCCACTACTACTGCCTACTGATCCCTTACTACATCATACTGATACCGAGGATGATCATACCAACTGACGTGACAGAGGAAATTAAACGGGATGATCATACCAACTAACGTGACAGAGGAAATTAAACGCAGCAGCAAAAAACGAACGAACGTAAGCAGAGCCATGTTCAGAACTTCAGATCACGACCGCTAGTGAGAGTGAGACAGGACGGCGGCGGGGCGCACCATACCAACCGCCGCGACGGCCGGCTTGGCGCTCGTCGATCAGACGCCAATGGGGTCGCCGAGCTTCTGGAGGCAGCAGGCCGCGATCTCGAAGCAGAGGTATGCGTCACGGGTCGCGTACGCCCACTCCTCCTCGCCCAGGTGGTAGCTGCCCCAGTCCGCCTGCGCCACCTTCGGCGGGCAGCGCGCCAGACGCATCTCCGGCCCGAGCGCCACCCGCGCCATGCGCTCCAGGCTCAGGCCGCTCACCACCTTCGGCGGCCGCCACGTCTTCCCGAGATTGGTGGCCTCCTCCTCCTCGTCGGTGTCGTAGTCGTCCCGATCGGCCTTGGCCTTGGCCCTAGCAAGCGCCGCCTTCCCCATCCAGTACTTGGCAGGCTTCTTCATCAGCGTCTTCTTCTCGGCCTCCACCCCGGCGACCTTCCCGAACGCGAGCACGAACAGATGCGTCAACTCCTCCGGCAACGCCACGTGCAAGCCCCACTCCTTGGCCAGCTTCCTCGTGGCCTCCCGCGCGCCGAAGCAGGCGACGGTGATGCGCTTGTCGTCCAGGAACGCGCGGAGCTGGGTCATGTTGTTGCTGTAGAACTTGAGGCGGTCGCCATCGTACTTGGCCTTGCGGATGCGGCAGCCTTCCGCTTCGGGGCTGTAGACGATGGCGTGGGAGCCGCCGAGGCAGAGCGCGATGCAGCGGATCGGGTTGTCGTGGTCGTTGGGGCTGAAGTCGGTGCCCCTCGCCCGGTCGGAGGGGTCATGGCCGCGCAGCGCGACGAGGCCCGCAACGAGGGGCGCGCGGAGGCGGCGGCCGCGGGCGACGACGGAGGCCTCGGCGAGCCAGCGCTTGGTGACTTCGTCGCTCGTGGCGAAGGTGGTGTCGACGGCGGCCAGGTTGCGGCCGATCCGGAGTACGCCGACGTCGCCGTCGTCGACGAAGTCGTCGTCATGCCGCCACCAACGTTGTCTGGGGGGATCGGGCCTCGCCAGGGTGATCTGCACAGGCCCCTTCATGGCGTTCGACGACGGCGGTGGATTTGGGAGGTGGGGAATGGGGTTTTGGGGGTTTTGTGGCTTAGGGGAGGAGTTAGTTGTCGAATTGCTGGCTCAGTGGCGTGGAAGCCAGCCAGGCTTGAGGTTTGGCAGGAAGAGGCGAGGGGAGAGGATGTGATCTCTTATAGCTGAGGTAGGCAGCTCCACGTGGCTCGATCAGGAGCGTTCGCTTGCTTCCTGCGGTGCGATGGCTGTGGCTGGTAGTACGTTGCCGTTGCGGACAGACACACGGTGTTGGAAATCATGGACTGGGGTGGGGCCGGCTCGTACTTTACCGGGCCAAAACCGATCTAATTAGACTGTCTCCCATAACCGTTACCAAAACACAAGACCCATTTTATATTTTGATAACGCTACAGACAAAGAGTTTAATATTTATTTTTTGTCTTCTCCAACAACAAGACCTAAAAGAGAACTCTTTCTGCAAATAGATCTCAAAAAAAGAGGATACTCAGATTTAGGTTATACCTCTCCTGTCACCCAAAATGGGTCTTCTATATATGTACTCTGTTGGATGCTATAGATATTCTGTTGGAGACCCATTTTAGGTTTGGGTCTCGTGTTGAAGACAGCCTTAGCCACCAATTAGGTTGATGTTTGATGTCTCATTGAAATAGAGATCTAGCCCCACGTGTCAATATTTAGAAATAAATAATAAACATATTCCCTCTATTTCGAAATAAGTCACATCTCATATCTAGAAGTCAACTAATTTCAGGTTTGACTAGATTTATAAAAAATAGTATCAACATTTGATTGATTTACTATGAAGGTATATAACCTGATTCATTTAATGATGCTTATTTTGTATCATAAACATTATAGTATTTATATATTTGGTTAAACTTCAGATTGATTGACTTCTCGAAATTCGAGATGTGCGCTTATTTTTGGACCAAGGGAATATATACATACACATAGTCATATTCCACTCTTTGGCCTTGTTTAGTCACTTCGTACATGTGTGCAAATCTAATCTAATAGTTAGTAGATTAGCAAGACAAAGGCCTTGTTTATTTTCTCTTCTAAACTTTAGTCTCTATCACGTTGGATGTTTGACATAGACATTAAGTATTAAATGTAGATTAAAAAATAACTAATTGAACAAATTGTGACTAATTTGCGAGATGATTTTTAAGCCTGATTAGTCCATGATTTGATAACGTGGTGCTACAGTACACGCATATGCTAATGACATATTAATTATGCTTAATAAATTCGTCTCGTGGATTACTGAGGACTTGTGTAATTTGTTTTATTATTACTATGCGAACACTCCCATGTGATACCCCAATGTAACACACCAAAACTTTAGCCCCTGAATTTAAATAAGGCCAAAGTTTTCTAACAAGCGCCAAAATAGATCCAAACATGTCTTGTAGCACACACATGCACATGTACTCTATAGATAAGGAACACACAGTGCATACTTGGTTGGCTGTATGATTTAATCAGTGTTCTATGAGCTCTGCTAGGCTCATCTATAAGCGGCCATGCCGGCCAGCCCTGTTCGTTTCGCTGAATTTTGGTTTATGTTGATGCTTATGCTGATTTATTGTGAGAGAAAAATAATATTCGTTCGCTAAAAAGTACTATTAAAGTAGTGCCACAGAACAGGACTGGCCGCTTTAGGTTTCCATAGGTCAACTATATCTAGTTGTAACTAAATTTATATATAAAATAAATGCATAAACACCTAGAGCACCACGTATTATAATAGTGCATTTATTTGATATTGTATATTTTTTATATGTTTTATCAAAATTAGATAAGTTTTGCTTAATATAGAACTAAAATAATTCATAATTTGAAATGGATCGTCCCTTTCTTATGGATGGTGATGGGCCAACTGATTTCTTAGGTCCTATTTGGCACAGTTCACCAACACCTTCATTAGTTTTTTTTTTTGCCAAACGCCTTTTTATCAAAACAGTTTTATAGGTAAATTTTCTTTTTTCATGCTCTCACGAAGGAATGAGGTGGATGAAACTGAAAAAAAAAAGTAGCTTATTCTATATTCACTTGACGGTTCGGTTGGATAGGCCCTTGGCTCGATTATTCATCACCCTGGAGCTGCTCTTTGCAGCGAGCACTGCTATAGATTCCCTTTGGCTTTCAAAATGGTTCAGTGGAAACGTTTCGGCAATGAATTGCAACATCTTTCGCGTCAGATCTGATAGCAATATTGTAGGGGCGAAAGAACTGCTAATGGATAGATGCACAACCTTCGACGGCAACGGCATCCACAAGCAAAGGCGCAAAGCAATGTTCAGAACAGAAACAGTTAAAAGATGGTTCCAGCAGGCCAGCACGATAACTTTGGAAGCCAAATTCATTGCCCAGAATGCCTTACAGGTTTGACATTTACTGTACAACATAGATAGACACTGAATTGTACAGCAATCTCTACGACCCCGTACCATATACTGTATTACCAGTATACATCAATCTCTACGGCCCCGTACCACGTTACCAGACTACCGGTAGTCATTTCTGACTGCTGATTTCTACTATACCACTCATAGTCTATTGTATGTTACAGAAGCGTGGCTGTGTGATGAGCTCAACACAGTTAAAGTAACATATAGGAGTATATACCAATTCCATTCATTGCATATTCATGAAGGACTCCCAAACTCAGGGCCATCACTTCGGCGCACAACCTTGACTTACAACTATGCAGAGAACAGAAGATCGTATCATCCAATCTATGACGATTGGGTAAGCGCAATCAGTGGTCAGAATACATGAGCCGCCATAATCTGCAGCTTGGGGAGCCCTGTAAACTGCATTAAGCTGCCATCAAATGACACGACGGTATATGGTAACCAGCTACGAATCATTTTGCTTCCTCTCCATTTGTATTGACCGGAAAATCCGTGCTGCTGACTCTGAAGCCGTCTGTGCGTTATGTGGAACAACCCTGATTACATGGTTCTGCTGGTCCTGGCCTCCAGATGACGGCTGAGGCTGGGCATTCGGAACTGAAGCAGTCTGTGCGTTACGTGGAACAACCCTGATTACATGGTTCTGCTGGTCCCGGCCTCCAGATGAGGGCTGAAGCTGGGCATTCGGAACCGAGGGAAAGAATGACACCGGGCCACTTCCGTCACCTTGAGCTTGAAGCCTATCGAAAGGGCTGCTGGCGCTGCTGGCTTGTGGCTCGCTGTCCCTTGATGCAAGAAATCTCCAAATGCCACTCGGGTGTGACATGTTACAAGAGATCAGCGACTGCTGTTCCATGTGCCCATGAGGCTGTGGCGCAGCAGCATGGCTCCCTTGCTCCACTGCAGATGCTGGTGCTCCTGGATTCATCACTGGCATACTGAAAGGTGGGAAGTAGTTCATATGCATGGCAGGAGCACCAGGAGGGACCATATGCTGTGGTTGGTGAGGCATAGGAACACCATATGGTGTAGAAGGCAGTCTTAACGGAGTACAGTTGGCGTAAAATGGTGTCAACAGATTTCCAACTGGGGGACAAGGGCCAGCATAAGGCTTATAGACAAGACCTTCAGAAGGCGACATAACTGGGACAAGCCACTGATTCTGTGGCGGATTCATGCACCAGTTATTCTGTTTGTTGTCAGGAGCAACAGGAATAGCTGGAGGGTTGCTTGTAAAGGTTTCGTTTGCTGCAGCTTCATCATGATGGTTGTCGCCAAGTCCATCATCACGAGAATGGTGCGATGGGTTTCCTTCTGTGTTTTGTTTTGATAGCTCTGGTTTGTCTAGAGTTGGCTGGATATCATCTTTGTTTGTGATTGACAGGGTCTGAACTTTCAAATTTCCTTTAGGAAGCTTGTTCCTTTTTTCCATTAAGGCATTGCCAAGGACAGGATCACCTTCAATAAGCAGATGTGGAGATGCTGCAATTAGCTTCTGCACCTGCTTGGAAGCCAATTACAAGCTGGGTTATAATGGCATTGTGCACAAGAATGTATCACATAAGCTAACCTAGTTATGAATGGGAAAAGGAAGAAAGATCTATTTATTTCCTGAAGACTCACTTTTATCAGCTTATGCAGCTCGAACACTTGGACAGCAAAAACCCTCTGCTGACTGTAGATTTTAACAGAACAAAGTATCAAACATCAGAAAAGCTATTATGCAGCAATCCGGAAATCAAGAAAGCAATATTTGCAATATCAGTCTAACAAGTAACGTACTGTTCTTTTAGATGAAAATATGTTTATACTAGAAAAAAGAAAAAACTGAAGGCATAAGGATTCATATTATCTACAGTTTATTAAAAAGTACAACAGCATAGCTAGGTACTGGAAACCAAACTAAGAGACATATCATCTTCATAGTTTTTTTCTTCCATATGACAATCAACTGAAAACTAAAAGAAAATGAAATTAAGCAAAGTGAAACATATAAAATAGTAATTTTCGAAACAACGCAACAAATACTTGGTACAAAACTACAAAACAGCTACTCAAGCACCATATACTTACTTCTGAATAGCTCTTCTCGCCTTCCAGAAATGCTTTGGACCAATTGCACCAACAATTTCATCTGGAGAGAGCTCCCACCCAGGTATGCATTCCACTGAGGAGTCAGATAAATCATCATTTTGCTCTCCATTGTGATGTTCTCGTTTTCTCTTTGCACCACCTTCCTGTGGGCTTCTTTCCAGTAAATTAGAATTCCAGTTAGAGCTATCTACATCAGTACATGGTTTACAGGATGATGGATTTCTAGTTGCTGTAGGGTTCTTTGCTTCTGTGGATTTTCCATTCACGCTTGTAGGTTGGCGACTGTTATTGTCAGCACGATTTATATTACTCACCTTATTCCTCATTTGACATAGTTTAGCATATTTGTCTTTGAACTTTTCTGATGCCTGAATTGATGAATTCTTTTCTTTAACTTCCACACCTTTTGATCCTTGCACTGCTTCTTTCTCCTTAACTTTTGGAGAATTCATTAACCTCATATCAGCTTCATTGATTCTGTCCAAGTGCTTATTCACAGTACTATAGCACTTTGCAGATGATTTGGACATTGCAGAAGGACTTTTGTGTGGATTTGTAGCAGATTGGGGTTTTGATTTATTTGCATGTTCTTGAGTAGAATATTGATAAAATCTAGGAGAACAGATGGAAGGAACCATAAATTCATCATCATTGGCCACTTTCTTCCCAGAAGACTTGATGGTGTTGCCCACTCTATGCTGTGAGGTGCACTCGGCAATTGATTTTGAAGCACAGACATCCTTGCTCTTGGTCTGTGAGGACATCCTCAGAGATTCTCTTCTTGTACTATTAGACTGGCCATTGATAGAGTTTCCTTTGAACTTTTCAGATGAACGAGCAGGTTCATTTGAAGGCACATTGAAGGGCTGGAACAGAGTCCTGTCATAACCATAAACCTGGATGGAGAAACTCTGTCAGTACTTTGTAAAATTTATTGAAAAAAATTGTTAAAACTCTAAGTTCCTATCTTCATTTGCCAAGGCCCATCCAGTTAGGATCCCTCCATGCAAACTGGTAGATAGTACTTTCAAAGCATACAGCAACTTTCATTTAAAACTAGATTAGAGGTGAGAAATGGAGTACCTAAGGGTCAAAATTCCAATTCATTCTTTGCTCACCGCTTTACCCCGCAAAATGGGGGAGAATAGGGAGAGAATCATGAGTGCAAGCAGCCCCTTGTTTCCTTTTATTTTTTGCTATTATTTCTATGGGAATCTAACTATCAAGTACCTAGTCTTTCTACCTCCGTATTTGCAAGTAATTGATGTCTTGTCGGTGGTTGTAACATGGTTGTACTCTGGAGTGTGGATATTTTTTTCTGTCCTCCAATTTTGTAGAAAATATGATAGACAAGCATATCATTACAGGATATATATTAAATATCATAACAAAAATGAACCTGCAAATAAATTTATGTCAGGCACTAGCTTTTCCTACTGATAGTTAATCATTTCCTATTTGTTTCTGAACCTTTCCATATGTACTACAAAGTAAACTATCAGCAAAGAAACCCCCCATAATGTTTATTCCCAAACACATCACAAAATGGCTAGAATGGCAAGATGGTTGAAACAGAACTCAAGTGAATGAGAGCCTCAGCACAAGAGCTTCGCTGCAATCCACTAAATTAGGAGAGGCATAAGAATATACCTGTAAAATCAACCCCTAGGGAGATGGTATTCTGGACACACAGATCACTGTGGTTTTAAAGATAGGACGTGTGCTTACAAAAAGGTACATAGGTACTTTCCAAGCAGCAAAGTTTGGAGCCTAAACTGTAACACAACTATAAGAGGTAGGATCAACATTTCAGCCTCAGATAGAAGATCACTGAGAAAGTCGTGCAGAGGATATTACCAGGTTGGATAACACCAGCAAAGCTAGGAAAGTTCAGTACAGCTACCTCTCGGATTCGGTTTCTCCCCTAAATGCACAATCGAGTCACTCGTTATCTGAAGTGGTTTGGGTCACTCACTCCGTCACTGTATTTTCATTTGTTATGTTACCTCTGATGGTCACAGTACCCTAGCTCCTAAAATCACACCATCTTACTGGTAACTATGCAAGTATGCAGCTGCACACAACTTGGCCAAATTTCCATGAGGACAACTGAGCAGTAAACAACATGGTGACAGGGGTGCACAGATCAAGTATCTACAGCTTGGACTTTTTCCATTGATTCAGCTTTCCTGTGGGTGATCCTCACATGTTTGTACTCTGGAATAGTTTTCCTGTCCTACAAACTCGCAGAACATGGGATAGTTGCTCATCTGTACAACATACACGCTGAGGATCCTAACAAATGAACCTGCAAATAAATGTGTCATGCGCTGGCCCTCTAGCTTTTTGAACTGATTCTTGACCATATTCTCTCTTAGCTTGTGATCCTTTCTATTTATGTACTAGAAAACTAGAAACTTCCTACCAAGTTTTGTCACACATAATTAGCAAAAAATATCTAGAATACTGAGTGGTGAGTTGGGGAAATTGAGCACGAGTGAGCGTCCTCGATCCAAAAGCTTGTTTGCAGATGGCGCCCCAAAGGAATTAGTTGTGGACATACAGATCACATGCCCGTGTGCTAGGCCAACATATATACTACTATGGGTTTGCAGGTTCGGCAATTGCGCTCACAGAAAAGTTGTTAGGATGCATGTCAGTAATTAATTTTCAATGTTTGAAAGAAGTACAGTAGTTGCCAAGAAGCAACAAAACGGAAGCTCACTTAGCAGCTTGGGCAACAGCAGGAAAAATTAGGAAAGTTGGTAGCAGCAGTCACCCCTCTGGGACTTTTTTCCCTCTAAACATGCAAATGCAAGCACAGAGACAGAGGTTTGCCTTAGTTTGGCACGGGCTAAACTCAGCAGCAAACAACACAGTGAGAACGGGGGTTGAACTGAAGAGACGAATTCTGCGTTGGCGCGACGGGAAACTCGATCCTGAAAGCAGAGCAAACAGCGAGCGGGCTCACCTGGGCAGCCGACGTGGAGGGCACGAGGCTGGCCCCCGAGGCGCGGGAGCTGAAGCGGTTGGACGGCACGGTGAGCTGCTCGTAGAGCGCCATCTTGTTCCTTGGCGGAGCCCGCGGGCCGCCGCCCTTGCCTGCGTCGCTGACGTGGAGCCGCGGGAACAGCGGGCCCATCACCTTCCCCAGCTCCTCCTTGCCGCCTCCCCTCGTCATGCCCAGCCCAGGAGCCAGGAGGAGCAGGCCGTATCAGTCAAGCAGCCAGCTCGTGGTCGTGGCGCAGCAAAAGATCCCCCGAATCCTTAGCGGCAGCTTCGTTTCAGCCACCACGTTCCAGTGTCAGGGCCGGCGATGAGGGAGGTCCGGGTGCAGGCGCTCAGCTGCTGCCTCGGCGGCCATGGCGGCTGCTGGTGGAAGTGGAACTGAAAGGCAGGGAAAGTAAGCCGGGAGAGGAGAGGAGAGCAGAGCAGAGCAGAGCAGAGGGGCGCACAAGATTGGGAGCGTCGCCGTCTGTGGACTGTGGTGGCCTTACGGGATTGGGGGTCGTTTGATTTTGATGGAGTTTTTGATGCCAAACCAAAAAGACAAGAGAGGAGAAGAGAAGGGAATGCTCATCCACAGTCACAGAGGGTGGAGGTGGGCTCCACCATGAGAGGGAGAGGAAGGGACAGGAGTGGACGCTACGCTCTGTACACAACAGTGTCGATTCATATCGGGCTTTTGGTTTTTCGGGTGTCAACAGCCTAAGAGCAGTGCCGGTTTTTCGGGTTTTTCACTCTTTCTTCACGTCAAATCTTTTGACACATGTATGAAGTATTAAATATAAATAAAAAATAATTAATTATACAGTTTGATTGTAAATTACGAGACGAATCTTTTAAGCCTAGTTAAGCCATAATTAAATAATAATTGTCAAATACAAACGAAAATACTACAATGCCAAATACTGATTCTAATAGCTATCTAAACAATGCGGGGTTTGTTCAATTCGGCGACGAAAATGCGCTGCTGCCGTTTCTGTTTTTAGGGGTTTTACCCCATACGGAGATTGCAGAGCAAAACTAGTAACACAAAAACAGTTTTCATGGAACAAGTAATACAAAAAATGCGCTACTGTCAACATCTGTTTGTTAGCGTACATTTCCTTGTTACTCCATCACCATTCACCAAAATATGTTAAATTACTTTTTTTTTGGACAAGTCAACATCTATATAGGTATTTAGTGGTAAAAAAATTACTTCTCTAACTTTAACTATGTTTATAGCAACATACACTAAAATTTACAATGTCAAATTAGTTTAATTAAATCCACTATAAAATATAGTGATAGTGCATTTATTTTGTATTGTATATATGATAATATAATTTTATGCAAACTTAGTTAAATTTAGAGGAGTTTAACATAAAACAAAACTAATGACCTACAATTTAGAATATAGAGTCTTTTTTCTGCCTATAATGTCCTGTTGCTATGCAAGTCTGCATGCATGAAATGGAGTTTATACTGTTGTTTAGCAACGAGTAATAAGCCTGTTTATTTTCACTTCCATCATATTTTGAAGTACCTTGGTAAATTGCTAGGTGAACCAAGCCGTGTGAGCTTAGCATTATCCTTTGGAAAGGTTCAAGCACTCTGTGGGGCCACGACGCTTGGAAGTGAAGCTCCACGGCCGACACGTATCACTTGGCCTTTGGACGAAAATACGAAATTCCTTTGCTTTGTGGATCGTGGGATATCCCTGGACACATTTGAATCACCACTTTGGATGATAGAGCATCTACGTGGGTTGGTGATACTCTGGTGACAGGTGACAGGAACGATCAAGTCTGTTAGAAGTCAATCAATTTTAGATTTAGCCAAGGATATAGAAAACACTATCAATGTCAATATTTTGAATAAGTTTATTATAGTACTATATTGTATGATTAATCTAGTGATACTTATTTGGTATCATAAATATTAGTATTTTTATATACATTTAATTAAATTTGAAATTTGTTGACTTCTTAAAAAGTGTAACAAAATATGTTTCATTATAGCCGGTCGATTTTTTCTTTGTGTGTACAAAATATTATGGGCATGTTATAGTGTAGAGGATCAACAAGGCAACAACTGAGAAGCCATATAATTTAGTTAAGAAGTATCATATAATCTATTGTGGTTAAGAATCACATCACATAGATGCGAACGCGTCTGATATAGTTGTTCAATTTGGGGCTGTTTGGTTTTATGAATCATAATAGTATATAGATGAGATAATGCATCATGAGATCATTCCACAAATTTTGGTTGAATCACCACATTTCTCATGCTTAGTTTATATAAAGGAGAACCAAATAAAAAGTAGGGGGTGGAAAGATGATAGAGAACCCAATTCCTCAACCAAACACACACTTTGTGATTGAGCCTAATTTGATTATTTTGACTAGATGGATAAGGAAAATCTTTAGACTAAGGTACCACATTGTTGACGGTAATTTTGCCATAATTTTGAATGGTCAAAATCGTCAACAAAGTGTCACCTTTGGAAGGAAATAAGCAAAGTAGTAATGAATTTTGTGCCAATAACTTCGTTCTACATGTACAATTCCTATTTGAATGGAGAGAAAAGAATGGAAGAAAACAGATGTTAGTGGGCCCACATAGGGGTCAGTGAAAAGCCAACAACACACTTCAATCTGTTGAGAGCCATTGGATGAATGCTTTCCCTGTACGGACAGAATTCAATGCACAAGGATTAATGGACCCACCAAGAAGAAATATCCAATGGCCATAAGGAAAATAGACCCTATGGTCCATTAAGTTTGGATTTTGGTTTTTGATGAACAATATAACCATTTGGACTAATGTTGTTCCAGTATACAAGGTATAATTCAAATGGATGCAAAGGTGGACTTGAACTTAGGCAAAGTGGTGGTCCAAATCATCAACACCTCAAGAACGACATTAGACACCATGTTGAAGACATGCTAAGACACCAATAAGTAGAAGCCCGAACACAAAGACACAAACAAATTTTAAGCCACTAAAGCCGAGACAAGGAGATTAGATGAATTGGAATTGTCTCATAATTTTGAATTTGTTCAAATTGAGATGACTTCGGTTCAAAGTTGTAGAGCTTTTCATTAGCTTTTCAAAAAGTCATTCATCAAAAACAAAGTTCGGAGCCAAAAATTATGCCCAGAATACGAAAGCGTGACATGGTGAAAATAGGGTAGCATATATAGTCCGATGCTAATGGTTCGACACTCACACTTTCGGCCTGGCGCTCATTGAATTGAACAGAGGCACTTTATAGTCCGACGCTCACACTTTGGTCCGACACTTCCAGAAAATGTTGTAACAGCTAGTAGAAAAAATCTCTAATGACACCAAAAAAACATTTTCTTTCGAGGAGATAAAAAATGTCTTAATTTCTAGAAAGAAAATCTACATATTTGTTTGAAAAAGGTTTCAAAAGGAGAGACGTGAGGGAAAAATTATTAAAACATAAGGTGAGAAAGGTGTCGAGATCACACATTCATACAGGCCTAGCCTAACACAGCATACTCACTCTATTCCATAAAGAAAGATATAACACTATACGACATTATATTGGCATTGTTCAGCCCTGTTTATCCCAGCTCACTAGTACTTTTAAGGGATATCCAAGTCACTTTATCTGATTCTTAATTTATACTTCATCTATCTAAATTATGGGTCGTTCTGGTTTTTCTAGAACATAATTTTTAATCATATCAAAATATACGTGAAAAACTTCAAACTAAAAAGATCTAGGACTTCTTACCATTTAGAAAAAATGAGAAAGAAGAGAGTACAACAAATCGTATGACACCTTTCTTTGCGTGGGGTGCAGCAGGTCCTGCTGCGCTTGTCGTGGCATATTTAAATGAATCAATAAATTCCATTTTAAGCAGGGACCTAGCATTTGCAACTTTTGCGAAATGTATGTGCCCAACCACGCCAAACAGTGACACGTGTTTATGATGAGAAAATGATATTAATATGGGAGAAGGAATAGAATAGCAATTAGATATGACATTTTAATTTGTTGCATAGCTGCAAATGGTATACTCCATTCCAAATTAAAGATCAATTTTACTTTTTACTAAGACAATCTTTTAACTTTGACCAAGTTATAAAGATATATTAATATCTACAAGTTCAATGTCATATATTGTCGGGTATCGTTATTAGAGATACAAAAAGCAAGGAAGTTAGCGCCCACGCTAACTCTTCCGGATGGCTCGAGACGTATTAAAAGGTCTCGCCCGACCCCTTTGAAAGCTCTAGTTTGGTTTTGTTGAATTGATGAAACGCTAAGTGCTAACCTAGTTCATCTAAGTGATCATGAGATAGGTAGCATTATTCCAAGTGGTGATGCTATGGTGATGATCAAATGCTTGGACTTGGAGAAGAAGAAAGAGAAAAATAAAAAGCTCGAGGCAAAGGTAAAACTTGATAGGAGCTTTTTCGTTTTGGTGATCGAGACACTTAGTGAGTGTGGTTACATTTAGGATCGATAGCCGTACTATTAAGAGAAGTGAAACTCGTATCAAAATACGATTATCAAAGTGCCACTAGATGCTCTAACTGATTGCGTATGCATTTAGGATCAAGTGGAGTGCTAACACCCTTGAAGATGTTTGTGAAAATATGCTAACACACATGCACGAAGTGTTACACTTGGTGGTTGGCACATTTGATCAAGGGTGGTGAAGTTTGGGGTCAAAAGGAGCTATTTCATATTAACCGGACTCTGCCTTGGGCAGCGACCGGACTCTGACCCTGCGTCCGGTCAGTGGTGCGCAGTGAAGCCCGCCCTCAGTCCTTTGACCAGACGCTGAGAAGAAATAGGACTGGATGCGCTGGGGGTGCATCCGGTCAGGCTATGACATATGCTGACGCAAACATCAGAACAAGCCAGTGAGGACCGTGCCTTGAGCTGCGTCCGGTCACCTGTGATCGGACGTGTCTGGTCGCAATTTTACCTCTCTGGGAGCTCTCTGGAAACGACCGGACTCTGACGTGTGGTGCGTTTGGTCAATTGAACAGGAGCATCCGGTCGATGGTCAGTGAGCGCGCGCGAGTGAGCCATTACGCGCCAATGGATAGTTTCAAACGGCTAGAACACATGGACAGGCTGCTACCGGACGCGTCTAGTGTACACGACCTGCGCGTCCGGTCATCCTGCTGTCAGCCCAATAATCGATC